AGTCATCACCACCCACCGCCAACACTGGGGGTTCTCTTTTACCAACAAATAGTGGGCTTGACCGTCACATTATAACGACCCCAACGGCTGAAAGGGCGAGCATGTTTGGTATGATGGGGATTCGAACCCGCGACCCGCAGATTGCGAGTCGAGCGCCCTAACCACCTGGCCATACCGGGCCCACAGAGCACAGTGCAGGCAATCTACGAACATGGTTCTAAAAAACTTACCTCATAACATACAACCTTAAATCAAACTTCCAGGTTTCTTTCTGAAAAAAAAAAGTTCTATGTTATTTTTTCCAATGCTCCAAGAGCTGTTTTTGTATCAATTATATTTGTAATCTTACTTTAATGTAATCCACATTTATTTTACACGTTACTTTTATTTGGGTAATTATTTTAATTGAACAAGTTTCTAACATTCTTCAGGAGCTATCATCAACTTGTCTGTCATAAGTTGTACTGAATGCACCCTCGTTGTTTACGATATTTTCAACCGCATAATGATGATTTTTTACTATATACAATCAAGTTGTAAATGATAATACAATACTCTTAAGCAACGTTGTGGTACCGACATTTACGCAGATATCGGGAACATTAGATGCAATAAATAAATAGCAAGTTTCATAATACTAAATAACTAAAGAATTAATAAACCAATTTTTATCACAGTGAGTTTTATTTCATGCTAGTTATTTAATAAAAGAAACTACAGTTTTGTTACATAGTAAGATCATCAGAAACACAAAATATCCCCTGCCTTTCTATCCAGTTATTATTAATAACTTCTGATCAAATATAAGCTCACTAAATACATCAAACTTAAAAGTTATAAGTTAATGAAGCCTATTTTGTATAACAAACTGATTAAACGTATATATATTTATTTGTGGATTATTAAACGGTTTTTCATAACGAAGTCTCTCTCCCCCTCTCACACACAGACACATTGGTAGATATATTTAGGTAAGAATTAGCCCTAGCAAAGCAAGTACTTGATCTAAACATTTAGTTTCGACGGTTCAAATTGGTTGTTCTTAGTGTAAGGCTATATTTATGTTTGTTTTTTGTTTTTTCAGAAACATGAGTTATTTTTAACATAAAATTTAAAAACTCTCACCCGTGTTTTCGTCGATTGTAAAAAGACCTGGACCATTCCCGTCTACTATGGTGTAAGTAATTCGACCAAAAACGCCTGAATCCACGTCACTGGCCATTACTACGACGACAGACGACGACATGCTTTCGTGTTCTCGCAGACTAACATTATATTCACGTGGGTAGAACACGGGCCGATTGTCGTTCACGTCTACTACTTGTACTTTTATCATAGCTGTGGTGCTCAGACCTCCTGTAATAAGAAACCAAGAAAATTATGGGCGAGATACAAAATTTCTACGTGATATAAATTTTTTTATAAATATTTCACAAATATAACGCTATTGTGTAGTAACCCAAAATAACTGAAATTTATAATTATAAATATACTATTGCAAATTCCCCGAGCGACATCGTTCAATCACATTTGCCGAAATTAATTTCTTAACTTTAAGAAACAGCAGATAATAACGTAACATACGCCAGAATTTACTTATTTCCTTTGGACTTGTAGGCATTTTAACTTTGATTTTGGATATAACATAGACTTGAAGATGAGCTCTGCTCAAAGTTTAGTTTATTTTCGAATCCACTTATCATACAAAATATGACATAAGGTGACGCCATTTATACTTCGTAGTTCTGCGTTATTTGAACATGCCTGCATCCTGTAAAATGCAATGACGAAAGCTAACTAAAATCCCAATGAAACCCTGCTTGACAATATAATAAATTCCAAAATAAGAGATCAACTGATTTAAACATCCGAATAAGTTATGTACAATAAGCAATTTAAAAATTTATAAGATGAAACATAAAGAGCCTACTACCAAAGGCAGATATATCTAAAATTACCAGGTGTTGGTTTTGTTAAACATCTGCGATCAACTGAGCTGCACTTTGACAAAGTCACGTGTTTAGAATATATTTCTATTTTATGTAGTACTAAAAAATTGAAGTTATTTCATTTATTAATTTTATTATTTCTAAATAAATTACATAAGCTTCAGAGGCATACCTCTATCAGTAGCCAAAACTGGTATATCGTAGAAGCTATGCATTTCATAGTCCAGTGCCCTATTAATGCATAAGTCACCGCGATCCACATCGATTCTGAAATCTTTGGGTACAGTTGATCTGATTTCTCCTCCCAGTGTGTAATTGACCATGGCATTGACTCCACAGTCGGGATCAGTGGCAGATACCTGAAAAATTCACCATTCTATTAGTTCAAAGTTATTATAAATTCCTAACGAATTAACCCCCTCTCTAAAACAAACAAACAACAACATTACATCGCAATAGCGAACATTAACCTAATTTATTCTTGCTTTTATAATGAGCTGTAGCTTTCTCGTAGTTAATTCTTAAAACTTAGTTTGTCAAAATAAATCATGTGGCAAACTAAAGACTCCAGTATAGTAAGTATTTAAAGACGTTTTAAAAACATATATAACTGGTGTCGCGCCAGCAGTCGTGCTTAGTAAAGCACGCGTCAAATTTCATGGCAACATCTAATACTTACACGTTAATCTTTTTTACAGTTTATATAACGTGACGTGTATATTCTTAGTTATTGCCACAGTAATATATTTACGTATTGCACCGTAAATACAATATAGAAAATGATAACTTTACAACATAATATTTAACATACATATGCTAATATAAGAAAAAAAAAAAAAGGCAAATAGTATAATAATACAATTCAGTTTTATAGGCGGGATTTCATATCCAGTTTGTATCACATATACTTTTAGTTCTGGCCTTGTTTTGATAAGAAGTTAAAATTAATTACAACTAAATGTCCCCTTATTGCTTGCAAATTCAAATGAGTTAATCACTTGATCTAAATATCAATATTTGTGGCCTAATAAAGTGAAAACTCAGATTTGTATGGAATAATATGTTGTTGGTTTTATTTTTATATTTACGCTGATTGAAAATATTTGGACGTTATGCACCAAAGACCATGACAGTGTACATGTTCATTTATACGCTTTGTGGTCATATTTGTGTTTTAACATTATCCTAAACGTTTGTTTGTTTGCCAAATACTTCCTCTCTCCCTCTCTCTCGTATATGTATTTAAGTTAGATTATTTACTTTTAGTTGAAAAATGGTATTTTTAGGTTTTTTTCTTATAGATCCTCAATAAATTTATATGCTGAAGAGTGACCTATGAAGTCACGAAACCGGTTGAAAAAAGTAATAAAAGAGAGAAAAAAGGAACAGTTTGATATTCCAGTGTTTATATTACGGTCTTTAACTCGTAATCGATAATGCGACTGTGATAAGTAATGGTGTTCAAAATATATTTGATTTGAAAAAATCCATGTATATGCCAAGTAGTATGTATGGAAGGCAGAGGATGTTAAAAATCTCCATTATTAACATGCACATATGTGTTACAATAACGCTAATCCCTCGTTTTAATGCAAGAACAAAGATAATGCACTTGTTCTGATGTTGCCAGCGGCCAACAGTTCATAAGGTTGATTGAAGCTTTCCAACGCATACTTAATAACATGCCTAGTGGAATAGGCAAACCTGAAAATGACTCGAAATGGCAGGAGATGTGAACGTTTCCCGTGAACCGGATACTCACAGTGTATCTGTATTATTATTTTTTTCTACATCGGAACATTGAGAGGTAGAAGTCGTAATTATTGTATTTTTTTTATAAAACGAAGTCATGTGTACTATTAATTGAAGGACCTGAAATTAAACTCTTTAAGAAAGGAAAATATCACCAACATGTCCATCTTATCTAAAAACACTAAAAATTAAAAAAGTAAATACGTATGAGTGCGTGCGTGTGTGCAGATTATTCGAACACCAAATGAAAAATAAAAGATAAAGTATATTGTTTGTTCGTTGAACCTCGCGCAAATCTGCTCGAGGGCTCGCCGTCTTTAATTTTGAGGTGGTAGACTAGAAGGGAGGCAGTTACTCAACACAGCCACCCACAACTCTTTGACTACTCTTTGCCAATGCGTAGTGGGATTGAACGTCACATTATAACGCTCCTATAGATGAAAGGGCAAGCACACTCGGTGATGGCTTTCGATCCCGCAACTGTTGTTGTTTATTATCAAGCACAAAGCTACACAAAGGGCTATCTGTGCTCTGCCTACCACGGGTATCGAAACCAAGTTTCTAGCGGTATAAGTCCGCAGACATACCACTGTGCCACTGGGGGGGGGGGCACCCGCGACTGGTAGATTGCAGCAACAACCAGGCCATGCCAGGCCTAAATTTACATTACAAGTTTACAGAATGTAGTAAAGATATGTTTATAACTTATTTCATTCTGTAAAATATCACATACATTTTACCTAATTGACAGAAGTCGATAACATAAAAATGTCTGACGTTTTTACCTATGCGCACTTAGTTCTTATATATCTGTAAGTGTGAGCACATTTCTTTTATGTTCCAGAAAACAAACGTCTAGCACTTTAACGTGAAATTCCGAAAATAACCTCCACATATTAAACTATATTTATAATTCAGAACGATCTGATCTGAACAGGTATTATTGTTAGCACCGGCAAGTGACAAACGAAGAATTACACATTTGATTTTTTTTGTGTGAATGACTAACTCTCGGTGACTCGGCGGTAAATCTGAGGGTTTATAACTCTAAAAATCTGGTCTTGATACCTGCGGTAGGTAGAGCACAGATAGCCTATTGTGTAGCTTTGCACTTAACAACAAGCAAACAAAATTTTAAAGCCAAATCATGGTTAATAATCATGTATTAACTACGAAAATATTATAAACTTTCAGTTAACCTATCAAAATAAAATGCGAGACAATTATCAATTTTACAATAATTTGTTATAGATAGTCTGATGATACCACAGATTACTTAACCCCCAAAAATCGCTCTAAAATTCTTAGTTTTCTAAATCATGTTAATTGTTTAACTTCTTTAAAAAATGCAATAGATACATATATACGAATCTTTGAGAACATTTCAAAACAAACTTTATGTAATCGAAAGTCGTTTATTATTCTACGGCTTAAGTGTCTTGCATGTTATGTGGTAATATTTTTTGATGGGAAATAGCTTCCAATTTAGTGTTAGTAAGTTTGTTTATTTATTGTTAAGCACAAAGCTACACAATGAACTACCTGTGCTGTACCCACCACGGATATCGAAACTTACCGCTGAGCCACTGGGTGGCGTGTTACTAAGTAAAAAGTATGTTTGTTTGCTTGGAATTAAGCACAAAGCTACACAATGGGCTATCTGTGCTCTGCCCGCCACGGGTATCGAAACCCGGTTTCTAGCGTTGTAAGTCCGCAGACATACCGCTGTGCCACTGAGGGGCTAAAAAGTATGAAGTTTAATATATGAAACAATATTTTTAATTATTAATATTAACTTTCGATCAGAGCAAGCTACCTTCGTAAAGCTAAACAAAAAATGAACGTCTTTTACTTATAAAGATTGGCATGCGTTGCTTGATCAGTTAGGTACCCCTCTCTGTTAACGATATTTTCGGCCGTAAACCCAGTAATGTCTCACGAGGTTTGGCTAGCTTAGGAGATTTAGGTCAGTCCTAAGTATACACATCTAACTAACAATATAAAACAATCTCTAATAAAAATATGATTAAGAAAATTAAATGAAAAATAATAAAAACAAACATATTAAACATTAGTTTTTGATGGAATAGATATGCGTTTTAAAAGCACACGTAATAGTTAAAACCATTTCCGATACTCACACAAACAAGTTATTATTTTAAAATGTTTAAAAACTCACAATTAGCAAAGTAAATATATGAAACGGTTCCTATGTTTCTGATTCGAGGTGATTCCTACACAGTTTTTTTGAAAATAATGTGTTGTTATCAGAAGTTTTTCCAAAACAGTTCCATTTATTGACTCTTCAAACGTTAACACAGACACAGGTGATTTTTCTCTTTTTATAGAAGAATGTATTAATGCTTTCAATGATATTAACTGTATCAAATTGTTTCAACAATTTTAGTGCACTAAAAAGTGGTATTGGTATATGTGCGTGTGTGTTTTTCCTGATTTATTTAGTGAAAGCTGTTTCATGGGGAAATTAACAAAACATATCTTATTTTACGTTAACATAAATAATTAATGATGATTAGGCAATATA